GTGCGTGCGTGCGTGCGTGCGTGCGTGCGTGCGTGCGTGCGTGCGTGCGTGCGTGCGTGCGTGCGTGCGTTCGTGCGTGCGTGCGTGCGTGCGTGCGTGCGTGCGTGCGTGCGTGCGTGCGTGCGTGCGTGCGTGCGTGCGTGCGTGCGTGCGTGCCAAAATAGGTGAGCCACTAGAACACACGCGCACACACACAACACACAACACACACACACACTCACACTCATGTCAACCGTCCGAGTTATTGCAGCTGAGACGCTGCCCCTCTGTTGTCATCTGTGGCTAAGACCGACGTGATGGTTGCCTTAGAATTGACATCATCGGACATCATCCTCCGCAATCTTGTGAACGTGTCACATCCAGTTTGCACCCTTGGTCAGATCCAGGCCGCCTTTGAACTGCTTGTCAACCAAATCCGGGCAGATCTGCCGAGTTGCGATGGTGCAGCCAGCCACTGCTTGGCCAACATAGACAACGCACCTGACATTCACATTCACAGCACACACACACACACGCGCACACACACACACAACCACCTAGATCGATCATGTATGTATGCACTTTACGCGTGCGTCTAGCAATACACACAAAGACCAATCCTAGCATTGCAGAACAGTTTCAAGCTGCGCTGGCGACGCATGTTCCATGCTCTCGGCCCCAGCACATATTGCGAGAAATGCTGAGGTACCCACATGCCCACAAGGGAAAGCTTCAGTATCGGCGAGTAGGCCAGACCGACCTTCAGGGATGAGGCAGAAATCATTTGTACGCGCGAAGCCGTGAAGCGGTCGGTCGTCATGGGTCTGTCATAGCTTCACTCTCAGGCAAGGTTGCAACAATGCATGCAAACGATATCCACGCCTCAAGCGGAAGTGGATTCAGGGCCCCTGCCCGAACCTCACAGACTTCCCGCACCTCCCCTGCGGCGATCAGCATCATGCCCAGGCAAGCGCAGCCCACATGGCCCAGGGCAGCGTCCAGGTGAGGGCAAACCCAAATGTTGGTCCCAATCAGGCACCTGAGCATCAACTGCACGAGCTGACAGCGACTCAATGTGCAATCATTCGCCTCTTTGAACTATGACACTTCTGCAGGGGTCCTCAAAGGATACATCCCCAAACCACCTGCTTTACTAGGGGTCCTGTGAATGAGCTGCGATTTTCAATTAGCTAAGTGCATCCTTTGAACGACGTTCGAACTTACAGCTTCGGCCAGCGCCCATCTGGACCTCATCCCTTTCAAACGAGGCACAGCGCACCACAGCACACCGCAAACCCAATGGACACGGAGTCTAGGTCGTAGACGTCGGAAGCAAACAGCCTCGGCTGGTTCCGCGCTCAGGGCTCAAATGCACGGTTCGCAAAGAGCATGCTCCATCTCTCTCTCTCTCTCTCTCTCTCCTGCTATCCCCCATGTCCCAAATTTGGGATCACTGGTGGCCGCCTCAGTAAAAGCTGGTGTGCAGCCCATAGGCGCGAAAATGGCGAAGATCGCGGAAAAAGAGACCCCGCGAAGGAATTCTGCAGCACAAACAAGCCAAACACTGAGCGAGAAGGTCCTTGGCAAACACACGAGCATATGCAAGACACACCACACGGCCAGCGAAGCAGTATCCCCCATCCACCAACATGAAACCTTGCAGGGTCTGGCAATTTTTCTCCAAAAGAGAACCGCTTGCAAGTTCCATGTTGGTGGTCGGGAGGATATCTGGGCCGCAGTGATGCCACGCAACACCATGATCACGTGCAAGCAAGGCGCTGCCACATCTTGCAGGGTTTCTGGCGTACGATCTCTCGTCTGGCACACGTCTGCTGGTGGGACACCCACGCCGGGCTCTCCGGAAGATAAAACTCAGACGGCCACACATCAGGGGGCCAAACTGAGCCACGGTGGGCCATTGTCATGTTAAACTTTGGTTCGGTGGAAATCCCACGCTTGCCTAAAGTCTGCATCAAGAGGTTGATGACCATCCCTAGAAACCCTACAAACAAAGGTGTGTTTTGACAGTGGCACAGGTATGAAGGTGTGCCAAGAAATAAGTGCTGCATTCTGCCAAGTGCATCCGCGGCACTGTGGTCAAAAGCCCGGCTGCCAAACAAAGAGCGCCGTTGACCTGGGTGCTAACATAGCTGAGAAAACCCCCAATCTGTCAGCAGAAAGCCGCCCAAGCTAGCCCGTCCTCAAACATCTTGCAAAGCTTAGCGAGAAAGTATGAGACGGGGTGTGCTCTTTTCTTGGCTGCATCTGCCGCATCCCAGCAAAAAAAAAAAAAAAAAACACATTCTTGTGCCCAGCTCCTGAGCCAATCTTCGGCCATTTTCTGAACAAGGGGATCCCTGGAAATGGAAATGGCACGCACTGCCGGACGACGCGTTCAGCGTCCAAACGCTGCATTGAGCCCAAGAGGCCATGATGGGCACATTGCGGCCCAGCTTCGAGAGCCCGCCGCCCAATCCTCGCATGGGAAAGGCGCACAAATGCCAAAGCCTGGGAACCGCGACTCTGAACACTGAACATCTATGATTTGGGGGTGGGGTGTTCAAAAGAGTTCACGCCCCACAGCTGCAGGTTGCTTACTCTGAGGCGTGTGGGTTGAACTGAATCTCCAAGCTCCTGGGCCGAAGGCGAAGGCCAAGCCGTTGCTGCTCATCAAGTATCCCAAATACCTAGCGCGACAAAAAAGGAACCAATTGTGCTCCTTTTGGTTTCCCTTAAGCCCATCGCGCAAAGGGTCCCCTCGACAAAAACGTATACATATATATATATATAGTATATATATTGCCGCACGCGGGACAGTTAATATACAACATGCCTTGACAACCCTTGTACAGCTTGCAGTACATGTGGCACTTGCTACATATGACCAAGGCCTTGCGCCAACTCACAGAAGACAACAACTGGGCCAGTCTTATGATTGACAGCGGTGCGGCTACACACGTGCCCACCATGGTTCACAACAATGTCCACTACAGCAACTTGAGCATGGATCAGGACCACAACTGAAAACACTGACCAACCAACACATCAAGCACTTCGGGTACAGATGGGTTTGCAAACAATCCACAGCGATTGTCATACCTTTCTACGTTCGTGTGGCTAAACAGCCAACTCTTTCAAACCCCAGACTACAGCACAACAAAGGATTCAACAGCACACTGGAGAACAGAGATGGCCCCTTCTTCCTACAAGCAGAAGTCACAGCATTACCAACAGGAAAAGGCTACAGGCACAGCACACAGCAAGGACACGCTGGCATGATAGCACCGACAACAACGCTTACGCCACAAGGCCCGGCAGAAACACGACCATCAGATTCAAGGATGGTACAACGAACACAATTGAGGACAAGTATCCAACAATGGGTGTTCTAAACAAGGCACAACAACAGATGTGGAAAGGAGAAACAGCTCAGGATCAGGAAAGGCACAGCACTGCCAGAGACACTACAGCAACAGCGAACAACGAAGACACAGCCAAAAAGCGCACCACAGAAGGTCACACCACAAGTAATTCGGCACAACCCACGCACACGATTGAGAGAGAAGACAACACCACCAAAAACTCAGGAGTCAGCAGCACCACACACCAACAGAGGCGCAGCTGGACACGCGCCTTCAGAACTACATGCTGGAAAAGACTACGGGTGCAGCACACACCGAGCCGTGCTGTTCCGGGTGCCACGGGCAGACATCAAGCGGCTCACACCTTGCAGACAGACAAAGGGAGACAAGAGCAACATACAGCTTGTAGAAGATGAATGGACGACAAAGCCAGCAAAGACATCAGACAGGCCTTGACCAGGCTGAACAAACTTCGGGGAACACCAAGAATTGGCCACACAACTCGCGTCAGATGATGAGGAACAACAACAAGGCAAACAGGCAAACTGGAGCACAATGCGACACACCTTCCTCGCAGAAATTGCTGTGGTGAAAGCAAGTGGCAGACCAAAGCAACACAGCAAGCTTCCAGGCTTCGGTTACATCAAAGACTTTGATGACAGCAACGTACATCCAACCCTCACAGCAATTGACATCCAATCTGGGACGACCATGGCCATACAACCGGCCGGGGGACCAAGAAAAGGATCGACTACGCTGTCACACAACTCCAGCACTTCCTCATTGAATGTGGAAGAACAACAAACACCATACCACAATCAGGTCAGGAGGACTCTCTGACAGCTTTGATCACAACAGTCGCAAACATGAATGGCAACATCACCACCTCACAATCACAAAAATGGAGTAGAATGAGCACACAGAACATTGCTTGCACAAATTAGAACACTCTCAGCACGGGTCAAGCACAACTACAACAGGGACACCCCCAATGAAACACCCACTGGCTTGGGACACACACACCACTTTGGTGAGACAGTGCAGCACATGGCGCCTAGAATCAAACATTGTCAGAGCAAGGACAATCAGAAGGCAGATTAAGTACACCCACCAACTACTGGGCTGTGTGAACACAAGTCCATGGAAAACACCAGCATCAGCACTGCGCACATCGGCTCCACCGGTGACAGTACGAGCATCAAGCCAAGCACCTACACCACAGAAGGACGCCGCAACAAGAGCAACAGCAAAAGGCAAGAAACCAGAAGAGGCCAGCATTGCAGCACAACCACCTACATCATCCACAAGAGAAAGAGTTGACACAACTGCGGAAGGCGGCACAGTCAAGCAACAACGCACGACAGCAGAAAGACAAGCGCTGGAACGAACGACAACAGCAGAACAACCGAAAGACAAGATGAGAATCAATGCCATCAAACTTACAACAAGAGATGGCAGACAACACGGAGAAAACATCCAACGAGGACATACAAGAGATTGATAACAAAAGGATCCTGCTAGAGCCAACCACACATGACACAGGCGGTGTCAGTATTGCATTCCTACATCCAGCAGCAGTCGACGATCTCCCATGCATAGGAGTACAAAGCATCATCAACACACACTGTTCAGCAGGATACAGAAAGAAACCCGAATGTAGGAGCAACAATACATTTCCTTGGCAGGAACATTTCACACAAAGGCCACTACACTGACATCAGTTTGAACAACAACTACCCTGACATCATCCTGGAAGAATCCAGAATGCCAACATGCAACCCAGCACCATCACCAGGAGTGTCACACATGAAAGGTGCAGCAGAAGATGAAGCACCTCTTGGCCACGAACGGCACGAACACTACAGGCGGCTTTGGCAAGATACAATGGCCAGCGTACACAAGATCAGACATCAGCTATGGAGCAAAGGAACTCGCAAGATCACTACGAGCACCAACACAGTCTGACAAGCTTAAAACACATGACAAGACAACATTCGACACAACCTGCGACCAAAGATACAGATACAGGACAAGATTCGACACATACACAGATGCCAACTGGGCATCATGCGAGACAACAACAAAAAGCACAACTGGATTTGCGACGCGCTTCTCTGCAGCAGCAAGACACTATGGAAGCAGAACACCAGCAACAATAGCACTTTCATCAGCAGAGTCAGAACTGTACGCGGCTGGTACAGCAGCACAGGAGAGCCTCTACGTCAGCAACTTCTTCAAGGAAGTATTGAGGTTCGCACCAACATCAGAACACACGCAGACAGCAGAGCAGCTAAGTCAATCACAATGAGAGAAAGTACATCAAAGAAAGCAAAGCGCATTGAGCTGCGACACCTCTTCATACAACAACTTGTCAAGAGCAAAATCATCACAACGCACAAGGTCAAATCGGAAGACAACCCAGCGGACACACTAACAAAGTTTGTCAGCTGCGTCACTCTCAACAAACACGTGTATACAGCTGGCCTGTGAGGCCACTACAACTAGCTTCACACAGTGTGCAAACTTTGTTAAAGGACAGTTGCGCAGCACACGTGTTTGTTTCACTACTACATCAGCCGGAAGGGCAGGTACGTAGCCTCGGGGAATCCACATTGAGCAAGGTACAACCCGCATTGGTACATTGCCTGGGTGGTTGAGGGCCGCATGCATTGTTTACAACTTTGTTGACAAGCACTACAGAATGCATTGCTTACATGGCACGGTTGTTCTCACAGGGCAATGATACATCCATCAACAAGAACATCATGTACATTCCCTACATGCGTTTGGATCACTTTGGGGCGCAGCACCAGACGTACAGGAAACTCGTTACGACGTTCAACAGAGGATTTGCTTCACATGTGCTAGCGAATACAACCTGAGCTCGGGATACGTATGGATTCAACATGCGATCGTTGGGTTACAGCAGGTTTTGACAAATCCAGCACAGGACAGGATCCACGCTGTTGCAACAATGGCACCTGGACAGATCGACTGCGCTACATTGCTGGGACTACATGAACCGCTTCGCAGAAACATCAGGGATTGCAGGATCGCAAACAGCATGAGTTGGTGGCACTAAGGACGCGCCAACGCACAGGAACACCACAACACGGACTTGATCTTGCAACAGCAGTCGGGGGGCTACAGGATGCTACACAACTTGGGTCAACCTTAGGGGCACCACATTTCATAGTTGTTTTGTACTTCTGCATGTCTGGCGATCAGTTTACATGCAGTTTGTCTTACGTCATCCCGAGCAACAAGGTGTTTTTGCACATTGCCAAGTGTACTGGTCACAGTACAATGCGAGGAGGCGTGTTAATATACAACATGCCTTGACAACCCTTGTACAGCTTGCAGAACATGTGGCATTTGCTACATATGATCAAGGCCTTGAGACGACAGCATTGCGCCAGTACAAAAGGAGTGCTACATTGCCGGTTTGGTTCACACACAAGTTTACACTTCAGGTATTCAGGCTACGCTGTTGCTCTAAGTTTAACAGGGACCCCAATCTCCAGCCCAACTTGTCAGCTGACTGAGTGCCGCACTCAGGTCGGCAATCCTCTGTCGCGACGTCGCAAATGTAGACGTTGGCTGTACTTCCTGCGAAAAAGGAGGCCACTCTCAACGAAAGCCCTTGACAAGCCCGTGCAAGCGAGCATGACCTTGCCACATCCAACTCTCACCCTCTCTCACGCGCCTACGGCCCCACAAAAGCCGCTGACGATGCGGCCCAGGAACAACCAGCCAATCGATGGCGCAAACCCTGAAAGACAGGCCACTCAAAGGTGTGTGCCAAAACAAGGGCCGCTTGGATTTTCCTTTGGTTGCCCTTAAATCCGCACTTAAAAGGGTAATTACCATACAAGAAACACCCCAGAATATGAGGCATGACGGGTTTCTCTCTCTCTCTCTCTTTCTCTGGCCTTGGCAGAAGGCGCCAGCTGCAGCCCCGAATAAGGACCCCACCAACCTTGGACTGCAACCCTCTCTCCTTTTGATGGCTCATATGCTTCCAAAGCCCATCGGACTTGAGGACAGAATCCGCACCGCGCACCAGCTGAATTCCGGCGCTTTACCCCACTTTCCACAGCGCTTCATCCTTCCCAGCGCCCATCTCAGCGTCCCGCACCGGCCGCCGGCCAACACGATC